GTGTTTTGTCAGTAAACCTCATCGAATGCATCACGCTGAATAGATGCAGACAGAAGAGATGAAGTCTTGCATTTCATGTATTCTTCTTCTTCTCCTTCCCTCTTCGTTATCTTCATCCTCCTCCCAATCTTTTCTCTCCCCCTGCTCAGCTTGCCTACCTATCCGTTTGAGTTATCAGCCGGGCTGCTAATGACTGCCAGGCTGTGTGCTGCGATAATGGCCTAACAATATGACATAATGAGCCAACAGTGGGCTGTTATACAACTGTGCCCCAACATACTGAGCTGAGTGCAGTGCACTGTATGGGTTGATGTGTAAGGGGGGGGGGGGGGGGGGGGAGGTGCGCAAGAATTGAATTTTGGATTAAGAACTCAGTCTTTGCAAGACTCTTTGACATAATGAAAAAACTTATATTTCAATTGCAGAAAAAACACATTACTTGAATTTAATTCCCTGAAATGAGTAGCCTCCCAGTCTGGGCACTTATCTTTTCCTTCCCTCTATGAAAAAACTGACAACTCACCACTCACCACCTACTCCACACATTTTCAGAACATAATGGTGTGATTGATGTGTCTGAACAGGCAGAAGAGAGTGTGAAGCACCAGTTAAACAGCCTCTGTCAAGCGTTGAATAAGGAATGAGTGGGCGAGTCTGCTTCTCCCTTTATGATGATCTAATATGATGATCTAATTAAGTGATCGAAACAGACTAAGAGTGCAGACCCTTGATTGATCGGGGATTGTAGTAAAAAAACACTTTTTTTCAATGCTGGAGACACTTATAAGTCCCTGCTTCTGTTAATACCCATAGAGAGGTCGTTGTTTTATCTAAGCATCAAAATGCTTTGAAATGACTTTAAGCGTTTTGATGCCAAGTTAGAACCTGGATATAAATGTAGGCGCTAATGCTATAGGTAGCTTGAGCTCATTCCTCCTAAAAATGTGATTTAATGGAGCAGTTACCAATTTAAGACTCTAAATCCTCTTTGGGTTATTTGCATGTTGCTACTTCTAAATGTATTTATTTTTTAATCAGAGGTCGGTGATAACAACACAATCATTTGACTGCTTTTAAACTTGGTTAACATACGACACATTTTTTTCGGAAAAAACATCACATACAGTGTTAAAACAGTGTAAGAGCCCAACACCCACAGGTGGTCAACAGAAATGTGAGTTGGACTAAAATGAAAGGGAATGATTTTAGACATATTGTGTTATTACATTCGTGTTTGACATTAAGTGGTTAAACTCTTATGGTAGTGGATGTGTAATCTACACTTGGCTTTAGTGAACGTATCGAAACACAATGAATTCACTTTTTTCAAAGGAGTTAAATTCTTTATGTTTGTGTGGAGAGTTTTCTACATTTTACATTCAATTAATCCAAAAAGAAAAACAGGCACGCCTGAGACATAGGCAGTTGCATTGAAAATATACTGACCGCACAATCAAACGACAGACTGAATATATTAAAAGTTTCATCCATTTGACATTAGAACCAAACCTAAATATTTGAAGGCAAACCTTGATGGTAACAGTAGTAATGCTTAAAACTCTTGCTTTATGGGTGCTATTCCAGTACCTACACTCTGGTGATGATTGGACTTGTTTCTGAATAGTAGTTTTTTATTATTATTGATTATTCTCACTTGTAGAAAAAGTCTAGAACAGTTTGAGTGCTTTCAAGTAGAACTACACTTGCAATGAATCTTTTTGATAGCAGGGTTACTTTCATATATTTCTTTGATTTAAAAGAAGATCGATTGTTCATATCAGATATCATTTATAGTGATCTGGGAGAATTAATGCTGCATGAATCCCAGTCAGAACCCCTGTCTGAGTATATGTGAGTCACCTCAAAGTCTAAAGCATATGGGTGCACAGTTAGGCCTCTAAATGTCTGATGACATAGCAGGCACTGATGCATTTGTGGTTTGAACAGCAAGTTATGTGTGTTTAATGCTCATTTAATCCTCACATTGTGATATCCTCCTCTGTAGCATACATATAGCTAGCATATATATAAGTTAATGAACAATATCATCTGACTGTGCAGTGAAGTAATTAAAATTGATATATTGATCATAAAATCGTATATAGCAGTGATATTCTTTTCTTTAATCTAGATCATCTGCTGGATGAGGATGCTAACATTTATTACATTAGTTCGATTGAATCTGCCTCATTAGCTGTTTTCCACATTATCTCTATGCTGTCAGCTCTGTTATCTGCACGTATAATCTAATGAAGCAGGAAAACCATGAAACATTAGATGATAAAAATACATTCCTAAGCCAAGCAGTGAAGGAATCATTATGCAAGTTCCACGACACCAGCTGAAAGAGACGGCAGCAGGAAGCACACCCGGAGAATTAAAGAGGAGTCCAATCTATGCAGAATATCAATGCTTTGTTATGGTGCTTTAAAAAAGGAAATCTGCACTATATGGAAATCTCTCCGGATCTGAAGGCTGCGCAGTGTTCTACAAATCTGAGTGCTGTGAATACAAAGGGGCTTTTGCTGGACTGAAGACAAACCTGTCTTATTTCAGAGAGGAGCGGGCTGACAGGAGAGCTGTGTGTGATTGGCAGCACTACAAAGAAAAAAAAGGAACATTAAAGCCCACCAGGAGGGAGGCGATGCATACACACCTGTGTGTATGTGCATACAGGATACATTGTGTGAGCGGAGGAATCTGTGAGTTGGAACTGTCTTTTTCGATGATGTTTGTGCTCATATTCTGCACACACACCTCCACACAAACACGAGTCAACACACTCATGATAGTTGAATCAACCCTGATAGCGTGCGTGAATCAGCACATAGCAGCCTCATGTTTCTCTCGGGGTGGGAATCATAGGACTCATGACACGATATGATACATGGTCCACAATGACAATTATATCCCAATTTAGAGATTCTGTGTTAACTGATATATTACATGACAATCATAAAATGATACATCAAAATACCCGATTAACTGAATAACCTAAAATGCCCCGAAAAAGGTAAAGTGCAGTGAACTTTGCCCAGCCACCCCATTGGGCTGTGTCGTCCCATGAATTGTTGTGAATTGGCGCTATACAATGAAGGTTTATTAATTGACTGATTGAACTTCCTGTCACCTTGTCATCATTAAGTATTGTTTTTATCTCTGCTCTGTAAGGTGACCTTGAGAGTTTTGAAAGGCGCCTTTAAATAAATAAATAAATGTATTAAGCACCACCGTGAGGACTCATGAAGTGCTGGCGCAGTGAGTGAAATTGCAAAATCGGGAAATCGGTTCTGAGTGCTCTGTAACAATAGAGGGATACATGCTACCTCCTTCACCGTAAAAGGAATACTTCTTCTAAAGAGTAACTTGAATGTTTTTGAAAAGTTTCTATCATGGCTGGCCTGCTGTTCCACAGCAGTCAAAATTGATTCTTGCTGTGAGCCAGAGCTATGGCAAATAAAAAAGAAAACATCCAAACATCCGTAGAAACCTCTCAAAGCTCTCCGGAAGCATTATCCACGTCTCTGCTATTGATCTCCATGTTCAGTAAATGATAAACAATTCTCTTGTTTCCAATAGATGATTTCATACGCTACTCCTGGCGGAGCGTCTGAAAATGAAAGAGGCAGTGATGTAACAGTGTGGTAGTGCATAAAAAAACAATATTGATAAAAGCTTGGAGTGATCTGAACGTACACTGATTGTAGCATGAACTAGATTATTTTGTACGTATTTTACTGTTATTGTCACTGAGTCAATTTAATCTTAAAAACAGGGTAGAAGGAAACTCTAGCGCTTCAGCCACTCTACAAATTGCGCTTGGTGCTCTCAGAGAAGGACCTTAGATGTTCAAAATAAAATTCAGTGGACTCCTATTTTAAGGCATGGTCCAAAGAAAGTTCTGGAGCACACAAATCACTTAAGAAAAAAATAATTTTGGTGCAAAACAACACTACAACCGCACTAAATACACAGAATTATGTTTGAAGCCTAAAATCAACTCGAGATAGTATCAATTTCAGCTGAATAGTCCTTTAGTTGCAGAACAACTGCGCAAGCCTCTGAACTTTTTTTCAAAACTTTCTCAACTTCCTGTACCTTGATGCAATAATGATGGATCTCATTTTTTTGAAGACGCAACTTTTTATCACTTAAGGCAAAATTTTGTTCTTCAAATTTAATGAGCACTTGTTGTACATCCTCTGAGAGGACACAAGTGTTTGTTGTTTATCAAATGTCTCTCTAATCAGCTTGCCTCATTCACAAGATCCCCTCCTTAAAACTGATTTGGTGAGCAATAGGATTTTCTGGCTTGAGGAAGAGTCCTCTCATCTCATCTATTAGAGGATGCACAAATTGGGGGAGAATGGTGGAATTTCAGATTTGTTTCTGACGGCACCAATGTGATGTGATGTGATGTACTGGACTGAATCTGTACAGAAGAAACATTTGACTTAGAGAAACAGATTTAATAAATGAAACAAAATAAATTTAACAGGATATTTGTCGTTTATTATCTTTAAGGCTCTAAGGCCAAACAGTGATACTACTACTAATACTGAATGTAAAGGGGTGCCAGTGGCCTAGTGGCTAGCTTGCGCCCCTGATGTACATGGGCTATTGTCCTTGAAGCGGGTGACCAGGGTTCAAATCCGAACCCAAATACCTGTAGCTTCTTTCCTGCATGTCACTCCTCACTCTCTTTGTCCCTGATTTATGACTCTATCCACTGTCCTGTCTCTCTGATAAAGCCATAGAAGGCCCCCCCCCCCCCCCAGAAAAAACATTAAACATTTAGAATATTAATGTCTGGTGACTCAAGAAACCTGATAGTAACACACAAATATATATGACTATAACCCTCTGAGGTACCCTCTGAAATGATTTGACCTTGATCATCCTGTTAAATTACAGATAAAAGCAGCAGAAGAAGCAAAAGAATTGGAGCATTCTAGTGGAACCAACGTGTCAATTTTAATTCATAGTTCTTTGTTTCCTACCTCCAGGATAGATGTCTCTTACTCCATTTGTTCGAAGGAGTCAGGCTTCGTTTCCTTCGGCCCATTGTCCGCTCTCCATCAGACACATCTGGCAGAGAACATCTGGGTGTTTTCATAAGGCCTAGAGTGGCTTGGTCTGGAGGGAAAAAAACATTAGTTGTGTCAAATGCTTTCCATTTTTTTTTTCAATTCTGAGGCTAAAGGCTGAAGGTTTCCTTGATTGTATTGCACATTTTTCTTCCATTTATTTAGCCTGAATTTAGCAAAAGTACCAACTCCCCCATATTATTCCTGCAATAACAACATACCAAAGACCCCGGTCTCCTTCAGCCCTCCAAACTTCTGCATGGCTTTGATGGCATTGGTCAGGGCCTCTTTGGTCTGAAGCTGACCAGTCGCAGGGTCGGGGGGCGGGAGGTAGCCAAACTTGCTCAGCCAGTCCTGAAAGGGGAAACAGAAGACACAGAGTTCAAGGGTCATTCCAGGCATTTCAAGGATGCAGAGTATCCAAAAGCTGTTGAGGAGGTCCAACACCTGTTCATGTTTACAGCCTGTGGCTACGTTGTTGGGAATTCCCATTAGCCACATCTTCTTTACATTATTGTTATTTGAGGGGTTTGACTAAGAAGCGGTCGTGAGTTTATTCTGAATAAGGCTCTCTGTGTCTTTATCTTTTGCTGTACTGTACTGAATGTTTCTAACATAAATTCAAAGAATGATGACTTCAGTGATTTACAAAAGAAAGTTAATTCAACAATAAGCAAAGCTCCATGAATAAAGGTTAATAGTGCAACTCAAGTTTCCACTGGAAACCAATGAGAGTGCTGCCAATCAAAGTCGCCCTGCTGACTGTGTTGATCTGATGGATGCATGCAAGCTGCAACTTGAGCTCTGCTTTTTCCTCTTGCTTTTTGTCTCCTGATATTTCCTTTGTCTGTATTTTCTTTCCTTTTTCTCTCTCTTCTCTTTGTCCAACTCAGCTCAGCTAAAGCTGCCTCCTCTCTCATGATCTGACAGCCTATAAGAGCTGGCAGATTTTAAATAGGTTTTTGATCAGCTCTCATCAGAGGTGAGTGACACAGATCGATTGCAAGGCAACCCTTCTGTAAAGACAACGCTGGCAAAATCCCATTAACTCTTCGCTTCAGCTCTCCGGGGCTGGTATTCGCCTCCTCATCCTTGGGATTGCCATTCCTGCAGAGGGCCTGGCAAAGGTTTGCAGGGAAATTAAATTGACCCTTAGCAACAACAGGCATGATGAGAAACAACAACAATTTCCTGGAAGAGTTTCTGCAATGTAACAGTAATGCCTGGAGTGAGCATGCTGGCTAAAGGATCTAAACGAAAACAGGAAAGTTAAATTGACTCTATGAATCAGCAGAGATTGTGATAACAGTGTTTGTAAAAAAGTGCTCGCACTGATTCCAAAAGTTTGCCAATTAAGTTTGCTGTTGTTTGTCTTTTACAGTTTCAATCACTTTATCACTGTTCATTGTAAATGAAGTGAGAGCCTTTTAGTAGCCTTAGGAACCACTTACCAAGGATGGCCAAAGAGCACAAGTCAGATAATTTCACGGCTTTAAAAAAGAACTCCCAAGTTATCCTAACCTACTGAATGCAAAACATTAAGCAAAGTGAATGTTAACTCTAATTGTCAAAAACATGTTGTGCACAGGTAACATCCATCAGTTTAGAGACTATCAGTGTCTGAAATCTGTATAAATAGATTCCTGGTACAGGCTCAGGTGATAACACACATTGACTATTGCAACACCCATAGTGCAACTCATCCCTACTGGCAGGTCTTCCTACATGCACTATCAAACCTCTGCAGATGATCCAAAATGCAGCTACGCGACTGGTCTTTAACCTACGCTGTGCATCTCCTTACACTGGCTCCCAGTTACTGCTCGCATCAAATTTAAAACTCTGCTGCTCGCTTACAAAAACAGCCACAAAAACGGCTCCTCCTTACCTAAACTCTCTCACCTCCCGCCAGCTACGCTCTGTCAATAATAGGCGTCTGATCCAACCTTCCCAAAACGGCCCTAGGACTATAACTAGACTCTTTCTTCTGTAACGAACCACCAAAGTCCTTTGATCTGCAGAGTTCATTTGCACCTTTAAGAAAAAGCTAAAGACTCAGCTCTTTCATGAACACGCACTTAATAACATTGATGATGACTAAGGGGATGACGACAATGGTTTTGTTTGAGAATGACGATTTAGGATGGTTTTGATGCTGATCAGCAGCTGCCAATGTTGTGCTTTGCCTCTGTGCCCTTCCTATCAGAACTGTTCAACTATATTAACTTTATTAGACCGACACATTTTTGGCTTGTGGCCTTTATCAGGATCATTCACTCTCCATGTCAATGGTAGTTGGTGAAGTTGTTGCCAGAAAACTCCACTCTGATACAGTATTTCTTTCATTGAAAATGTATAAAAGACAGTTTCAGCAGCATGGTATAAGTTGCTTCATCTGACAAACACCCAGAAGCAGCGATTACAGGCATTCAAAATGAGGATCTAGAAACAGTTATCTTGCCATTGTTGATCTTGTTTGCTTTTGTGGGTCCTGTAAAGGCATCATTTGTAATTTGAGTGTGTTTCATAATCTGTGAAAAAACTCCTCATACAATTCTTTTCCAACCCAGGCATTATTAAGAATAAATTAGTGGATTTTTGACTGTGCTGTACAAACGGAAATTGGTGGAGTTCTGAAGACAGAAATCTTCAGAGATACATTTTTCTATTTTATGTGCCAAAGTTTTGTTTGGATTGACGTCACACAATGCTCTCATTCTATCATTTCTTGTTTTTATAAAGAGTGTTGAGTTTTTCTTTAACACAAGGGTCTTTTTAATTGCTCATCTTCATATTTGTTATCTTAATGACAAGATGAATTGATTGACCTATAGATCATAATAACACTTTGAAAAGTAAAAAATTGTTTCCTAGACACAAAGGTGACATTTTCAAACAACTTAAATGTGTTTGACTCCATAACTCTAATAAATTGCTCTTGAGCATCAAACTTCAAACAGTGAGTATTTCTAGCGTTGACTATGAGGGAACCACCAAATGTGTTCTGATTATATTTATGATCAACTTATCAATGGATACACCGACAAGTTCCACCTTATTATTTATAGGGCCTGACCGATATGGACTTTTTGGGCCTGATACCGATATTGGTATTGGGGAGGGGAAAATATCAGATATTTTTGGCCGATATCTTTCTTTGATATATGTTCGATCTGTAGGGATAGATATAGATATACATACACACATATATTACGTTGATCCCTCAAATGAAGTGATCAAAAACTTGTTGAAAAGATATTAATTAAAGAAAAGATGGTCACACAACTAGATAGTAACTGCACATGTACGTGCATCACCACTTGACACTCTGGAGAGTGATCATGCTTGTTGTAATCCATATAGCACACTCTGCTGGTGACAGCCAGAGAGAGAACTGCTAGTGTAATACTAAAACTCAAATGAAATGCTATTTGACTGGTGAACAAATCTAGTGATATCTACGATCAAATTAGCCGATACCGATAGTCATTGGATATGCTAATAACTGCCTATATTATTGGCTGGCAGATTAATCAGTCGAGCTCTCAAGAAGAGTATCATAATAGTGAGAAGACTACAATATACCTCCAAGTACTGTATGTATGATAGTTTTGGGATATACAATGTGACATTCTTAACTTTGAACTATTTTTGTTGTAGAGGTGTCTGGAATGAGGAATTATTGCCAGCGTCTAAGGTGCTCTTAATGTTGGGGTTAAAACAGAAATAAGTGCTTTATCTTAAATACTATCTTGATCAGAACTTAATTGACAGCTAATTTTCTTGCTTGTCACATTTTGATGAAGAGATGTGGAACTGCCTTAGATTTAAAGTATTTATTTTCAGTGTTGGGGGGGTAACACGTTACAAAGTAATCCGTTTGAGTACTCAGATTACTTCTCTTTAGTGACCAGTTACATAACGCGTTAGTACTGAAATTCAAGCAATCAGTTAACGGTGACTATTTCAGAACAGTCATTTGTTACAGGGAAAAATGCTGCACTGCCCTGTTCCTTTTGTTGCCTCAAAAGAAAAGAAAACTGAAGTAAAGAAATCCCCGAAGCATCTGCAGTTTAGCTAATTCAGCAAGTAAGATGGGGGAGAGGGAAGCTTTTACTTGATGTACATTTTTCCATTATTTTGCCTTGTTATATTTTATATTGAGTCTGTCATTCCTTTTATTGGGCTGAAGGGTTACAGATTATGGACTGTAAGAGGGGATTCCATGGAGGCCGTGCAATGATGGTATAGCTGATATATTCAAAGGTAGACGGACCATTTAACCAGCGTGGGTTAATAGCCGCAAAGGGATTTTAGTGTCTATCAACGCGTTACTTTTCTCAGTGGGTGACGCAGTTACCTTTTAATGGCAGTAATCTTGTAATGCAACAAGTTACTTTTAAAAGTAAAATGACCCAACACTGTTTATTTGCAGGTTTAAAAGCAGAAAAAAATTAAAGCCAATACTATGAAAATGAGACGAGTTAAAAATAAACGAGGTAACGCTGATTAAAGTTACATGCTTAGAGTACATTACATACATACATTGTCTGACTGTGCATGCATCCATACAGACAAGAGGAGGTTAAAGTTCTTCTCTATAAGCAAAGTGTTGAAGTGATGGATCTGTGCTGTCTACAAAACTGCGAACCCTTTTTTTCACAAATACACACACACACCGACACACACCGACACAACTCATAAACGCACTACATCAAACTTTTTTTGTGGAGCCAGCAAGTAATTTAAACCCTGACACCGTAGCTCACAGCTGGAAAAAAAAAAGAAGCTTTAAAACCTGCCAAAGAGCTCAGTAACATGCTGAACGCTGCTAAATTATATACAGGGATGTCACTGTGTTTAGGTGAGATTGGCTGTACTTTAAAAAAAAGGCTGCATACAAGTCATCTGAGGTCAAATAGAGACACTACAAACCATTAGAAGAAGATAAGGAGTACAACAAAATAAACAACACTCCCGCTCTCACAGACGATAGAGAGTGCAACTCAAAGATAAAATCCCCAATGCAAGAACAAAGGAGGGAGAATTAGGAAATCTTAAATAATTTACACGCTTCTCAGACCTAATAAACCCGAAAAAATAATGGTGCAGTTCTCCTGGGTGCTCACCCTGGAAATAAAGATAAGGAAAATGAATGTGTGCAGAATGAGAGAGAAACACAGAATCTGGCCTGTACAACAAATTCTAATCTGAAGTGAACAATACGATGACATACTCTTCTTGAATGGCTCATTAGAGACACAAATACACACTTTGGCAAACACACCATTAATGCATTGAAGTGATTTCTTACATCTGTGTTCTGTGCTGTGTCCCAAATAAAAGGTAGTTCC